CCCGTGAAAAGATTTATCTGCATTGGAGTTTTTCTTCTTTACAAGTTAGTAAGCAGAATCTGAGCTTTCTATTGGCGAGATCCAACTTTTATGAGATCAGCGGTATAAGAGCCACTTATCAGGAACAGTTTATATTGGACTGTAAACTCTCAGGGCAAGGGCCTATTGTGTTTACTTATCTAACAAGCACCCTACCACCCCATCACCAGCCCCATTATAGGCTCCACCACCAACCAGAAGGCTGAAGAGGTTCTTGCCTCTGGTTTCAGCTACAAAACAAGAGCAGCACTTCATATGTTTGCATTAAGTTCTGTCCCTCACAAGCAGTAGGGAATCCCCAGTGGGAGTTATGGAAATATACAGGACGACTAAGTCTCCTTCACTTGCATGGATTCAACAGCTTGAATCAACAGAAGTCTCCCCTATAAGCAATGGCAGAAATGGTCACTACATAGTTATGCTGAAGTTAAATTAGTTGTGGGAAGTACAAGAGGCTCTGGCACACTTGGGTATGTCACCACATATTCCTAGGACCACATTTTAGAAACATCACCACCTGCATTACTAACAGGACTTTAGTCTGTTTAAAAGAATTTTAGAAGCCTTATTTACTTTTATATCTCACTCCACTTTCACTGTGACATTAGATTGGTCAGTTTTACTTTCACACAGGAAAGGAAGGTCCAACTGAAAAAAGGAACAGCATACTTTTTGCTGAAATTGTAGAAAATGCCACAAACACACAGTTTTATTCATATTACATTTGGGGAAACCTGTCTGGCAAAATAAATCCCAAATTTGGTGACATTTTTGGTTTAACAAATCCTAGCTTTGGGCCCTAATACTCAGAGAGCATCACTTAAACAGCCCCAGAGGAAGTCACAGCACAAGGTGTGCTGGCAGCATTCTTCCCTCAGAAATCTCTCCCCCTAGGGTTGGGTGCTTAGATTGTCACTGTATACTTTCTAGCCTTGGTCTACCATTTGCATGGAAGATCAAACAAGACAGTGAATGTGGAATACAGAACCAGGTGTACCCTGCCTCAGCCTTGAGTGTTCAGCAGATTTCAGAACCATAAGGCTGTGGTGAGATGTGCCATGTTCAGAATGGACTCATACACCAGTCAGTCACTAAAAAGCTATGTTTCTTAAGGTTGTCACAGCTATTTGATACTGGCCTTTGGCTGGCAGTGTTGAGCATGTACCTATATGGTATAAGGCATGCTCCGAATGGCTCACCGGCGCTGGATCTGTCTGGCAAAGTTGTTACTGGAAGCTGAGCAGGGAAATTGGACAGCCTCGCTGTGCAGGGTGGCATTCCTGAAGAGGTCACAGAAGTTCTCAAAGAGCTCCAGTAGCTCATCCGAAGTGTTCTCGAACACAGCAATAACTTCTGTGGTCACCATGTTGTACACAACAAAGAATGAAGGCTGCAGAGAGTAGCAGAGTTAGTGGTTTTCCAACAGAGTGCAGCCAGACAATACAGGGTCTATATTAGTTGGGAATCCCTCCCCCCCGATACACACAACACACACACAAAAGACTACCCATGATTACTCTGCAATGTAGGAGAATCTCACATTCACTATACAAATTCATTATGCTATTCAAATACCTCAGAGGGTACCAGATTATCCAGCCTATTCACTACAGTGTAATTATTTATGAAGGGAACTAAACACGCTTTCAATTTTTCATTTCAAACTGGACGTCAATATTTCTGTTTTCCTCACTCCCCACCAAATATAAAATGCTTTTTAAAGTGGCAGATTTAATTTTCTTTCCTGCTGGGGAAGTGATTTTAAACCAGGTGCTGGCTGGCAACAAATTATTTTTCCTGTATGTGAAGAGCTGAGAGGTTTTTTTGTTTTGTTTTTTTTTGGCATTTATTGTTTTCCCCCCTCTTAATATTTCCAGCATGCAGAGATGAGATATTTTTAGTGCATTGTGTTCCAACATTGCCTGCAAAAGTTTTGCCCTCCAGGTACCATGCTGGTGTAGAAATGAAAGCCTGAAAGACAATAACTATTTCTTTTTAATACTGACACTTTTATCCAAGAATTTCCAGGTGCCATTGCAATTGTAAATCCAAAACATGACTCAGGTACTTCTGCAGTAATTTTTTCCCTAGATAAGGTTACTCAATCACTACAGACACTAACTCCCAAACCAGGGGTGTCCAAACTTACTGGCCTGCCGAGCCACATACAACAATCTTCAATCTTCAGAAGATCAAGAGCTGGGGCACACCTGCTGGGAGCCAGGGGTTGGGGCTTCAGCCCTGCTCCTGAAGAAGGCCCAAGCCCTGGCAGCTGTGCCCTGGAGGGCTGAAGCCCCAAGACCCACCCTCTACTGCACAGAAGCCCCTCCCGCACCATCCCACTGCAAGGCAGAGGTCCTGAGCTTCCTCTCCTCCCCCTGTCTGGTAGGTGAAGAATGGGGAGGCATAGTGCATAGCTGCACTTTAATGGTAAAAGAGCTACATGTGGCTCGCGAGCCACAGTTTGGCCACCCCTGGCCCCAAACCAGATACCAGTCACATGCATGACCTCTAACAACATATAGCAACAGAGTAGCACCTTTGTAAATCCTGATGAACTCAGACCTTAGGATTTCCATTTATATTAGATGCTTATAGACTATAGACTCCACCTTGATATACTCACAATGCAAGACTGGCCTCGTTTTACAAAAAGAAGCCCAGCTGCAGACGCACCTCAAGACTTCACCCTATAGGATAATTTGTGGGCTGGGGAGAAGAAGAAGGAGTGAAGAACTCAGATGGGTCTCTCAAAATGGGGCGAAGTTTGGACTATCACTATATCGAGCCCATGGCTTGTTACAGAGTTGTGTTGGTTTGGGAGAAGTTGGTCCGCGCTATCCAGTTTTCTCTCTCAAGGGAGCTGTTACTGACATATTGTACTTAGACTATTCAGAAAATGGGGGAAACGGATAGTTGCCAAATACCCACATATTACTCCCAATCACCTGAGCTATTAGCTAAATCACCACCTCCTGAAGAAAAAAAGTCTTTCTGGGCTATAGGATTGAAGTGCAGAGGGAAGGAGAAGAAGGAGAAGGGCTTGACTACCCTTGACTCATTCCTGTACAAATATTTACCACTTTAAAGATTGCAAAAATTACAGGGTGGATAAAAATCAATGATTTAAAAAAAAATCGGATTTTTTTGATAAAATGCTTTTTGAGGAAAAAGCCCATCTAAAGATAGTTTTAATTAAGATACATTATAGCTCAAAAATATCTCATCATGGAATAGGGATTATAAATTCTAATTCTATAGTATGAGACAATATATTAACGTAATGTTTAAGAAAAGTTTTGTAAATGAGTTCCAACAGTTCATGGATTACGGACCCAATTTTATGGGGTTCCAGGGGCTTCTGTATAGATTATTTAGGTTAATCTTTCTATCTATCCAATGGGGCTCAGTCTAGAAGATACCATCAGAGATGCTTAGTTTTGCAGTTCTCAAACTGTAGATTTGTATCTCCAGAGATAACATGCTTGTTAACAGCAAAAATGTTTTAAAATAAATAATATATAGAGGTGAGAAATAACAGACCTCAACCCTATTGTCCCTCTGCGAATTTGTGTACATAGAGTCACTTCCTTACCTCTCTCTAAAAGTACAAAGTTTCAAAAAGTTCAACGAATAGAAGATTGTTGGGGGCAGAATAGATCTGGACAAGAAGTCATCTGGAGATAAATGTGAGAAGGGAGGGACAGGCAGTAGAAACAAAAGTGAAACTGGTTGAGCAGCATATTCCAGAAGTCTTGAGATCTTTCTGAGTGTAGCCTTGATTGATTTGAGATCTACCATACCATTCTCTCACTAGAAGGGAAAACCTATAATGGCAGCAGGCCGTAAAAGAGACTCAGTTTGGGAATAAGAACCTTTCCAGCAATATATGTTTGCTGATGATGTTTTAAAGAAAGTCACACCAGTGAACTGGTGGAAGTCACTTAAGCACTTGGATTCAGAGACTGTTGAAGTGATAATCTCACTTTTAAAAGCAGTAGCTTCTTCTGCCGGTGTAGAAAGAATATTT